CCGTCCGTCTGTTACGCTTTAGGATACCCATCTCTTATCTGCAACTCCTCTCATACCACTGAAGGGAATTTAATGAAACTTTCACAGATTCTTAATTACATATTGTCATTGTGCACCTCTTATTTTACTTTTTGATCTGACATATAGTTTTGATTTTCTAGAGCAAAACATGGACACTGCCATTATATTCATATGGGAGGCGGGGGGTATCATTTAGTGAGCTCATTGCGCACAGTACCTCTAGTTTACAATAAATTCATATCTTGCTTATAAGCATTGGAATCAAAAGTCAAATTGTCGGATATTAGTATTTGATTTGTCTGAAAAGAAGATGGGCGCATTTGGCGTGTGATCTGCAGGAATCATTTGTACGAAACATTTGTGGTTTAAATGTCCATGATTTGGTTGGCTGAACATAGCTGGCCAGTTTTTATAAACACGTCCATAGGTTTTTTTTAGCTCACCTCAACGAAGTTGGGAGAGCTTATGTAATACCGTCGCGTCCACGTGCACGTCGGCGTCCCAGGTTAAGGTTAAGTTTTTTGGAGCAGTTTTCTTTGTAAGTACTTCTATGTCCTAGATTGATTAGACATGCATTGAAGATGGTTCTAGTGTGTTTCATTGTACCAGTCAAAGTTTCAGATGCTGCAATTTCAGCAAAGGAATGACCAGGTTAATATTTTTGGAGCAGGTTAACGTTTTTATGCCCCCGTACGAAGTTTCGGGGTATATAGTTTTTGTCGTGTCTGTCTCTCTGTCTGTCTCTCTGTGTGTCTCTCTGTTTGTCTGTTTGTCCGCAAAAACTTTAACATTGTCCATAACTTTTGATTTGGTGGAGCTATGACTTTCATATGTATATTCCTTGTGACAAGATCTTTCTTAGGGTACCACCAAATTTGACCTTTTGACCTTGACCTTGGAGTTTGACCCACTTTTACATGAAAATTTTAAACTTTTTCTTTGGCCATATCTTTTGAAAAGTAGATACCAGGACATTTATACTTCACATATCTAATGTTTGTTGAAAGACCTTTCATTGGATACCAACAACCTTGACCCTTTGACCTTGACCTTGTAGATTTCCGTACTTGTGAAAAAACTTTAACCTTAGCCATAACTTTTGAACGATAAGTAATAGGACTTTCATACTTCATATATATAATCCTTGTGAGAAGACCCTTCGTTGGTGTACCGCCAAATTTGACCTTTTGACCTTGACCTTGGAGTTTGACCCACTTTTACATGAAAATTTTAAATTTTTACTTTGGCCATATCTTTTGAACAGTAGATACCAGGACATTTATACTTCACATATGTAATGTTTGTTGAAAATCCTTTCATTGGACACCAACAACCTTGACCCTTTGACCTTGACCTTGTAGATTTTCGTACTTGTGAAAAAACTTTAACCTTTGCCATAACTTTTGAACGGTAAGTAATAGGGCTTTCATACTTCATATATGTAATCCTTGTGAGAAGACCCTTAGTTGGTTACCAAGAACTTAGACCCTCTGACCTTGACCTTTGAGATTGACCTACTTTAAAAAAGCAAACTTTGACCTTAACCTTTAAAGAGTTAGGGCTAGTGTTTTTATACTGTACACATTTAATTCTTATGACAAGACCTTTCATTTGATAACAAGAACGTTGACCTTGACCTTGGAGTTTGACCTACTTTAAAAAAAATGAACGTTGGCCATAACTTCTGAATGGTTAGGACTAGGGCTTTCATGCTCAACATAAGTATTCTATGTGGCAAGACATTTCGTTTGATACTAATTACATTGACCTTTTGACCTTGACCTTGGAGATTTTTGTACTTATTTAAAAAAAAACTTTAACATTTGGTTACTTTTAAATTTCACAATAGTTTTCCAGTGAGAATACCCTACTTTTGGTACTATTTAGTTAAATTTGCATTTAAGAAAAGCTTAATCTTTGCTATGTTGCCATACGGGGGCATCAGTGTTTCACAAGCACATCTTGTTGGTGCAGTTTTTGGTGTAGGTTTCATTTCCAAGTAACTATAATCCCTATGTTGACCAAACTTGCATGGATGATACATCTAATGATGGATACTACTGGGCTTGCTTCGGATGCTGAATCTGACCTACATTTTCCGGTTAAGTGAACAGGTTAAAGTTTTTGGTGCAGGTTTCATTTCCAAGTAACTATAAGCCCTTTGTTGACCAAACTTGCATGGATGATACATCTAAGGATGCTTACTACCGGGCTTGCTTCGGATGCTGAATCTGACCTACATTTTCTGGTTTAGTGAACAAGTTAAAGTTTTTGGTGCAGGTTTCACTCCAAGTAACTTTAAGCCCTATGTTGACCAAACTTGCATGGATGATACATCTAAAGATGTATACTACCGGGCTTGCTTCTGATGCTGAATCTGACCTACATTTTCCGGTTGAGTGAACAGGTAAAGTTTTTGGTGCAGGTTTCATATCCAAGTAACTATAAGCCCTATGTTGACCAAACTTGCATGGATGATACATCTAATGATGGATACTACCGGGCTTGCTACGGATGCTGAATCTGACCTACATTTTCCGGTTGAGTGAACAGGTTACAGTTTTTGGTGCATGTTTCATTTACAAGTAACTATAAGACCTATGATGACCAAACTTGCATGGATGATACATCTAAGGATGCACACTACTGGGCTTGCTTTGGATGCTGAATCTGACCTACATTTTCTGGTTGAGTGAACAGGTTAAAGTTTTCATCAAGAGATGAAAATTCTCAAATTTGCTTCAGATGTTTTGATTACATTTTCATGAAGAAGAACTAGTTTAAATTTTTTATGTGGGTCTATTTCAAAGTATCAGATCAAAATTGCTTAAATATTTTCATTTTTGGAATGTACACTTTTTGTTGGTTTATCGTGTGACTTTGCCTTACTTAAAGACAACATTCGTTGAGGTGAGCTCTGTAATCTCTGATTACCTATGTTTTCATTTAGTTTGAAAGTGCAAAATTGTAACATTTTTGTCTGTTTTTCCTAGGGGGTACTATAACATAGTAATTTTTCACATAAAATAAACACCTAAAATATTTAATGCATATAGATGCATGATACGTGTACATGTATATTATAAAGAATAGAAGATTAGAATTGAATTCGCTCGAGAACCAAACTTAACCAAAATTTATCTAATTCAAAATTTTAACACATCAGTACATAAAACGAAACTGACGAAATAAATGGTTGTTTGCATGAAAAAAAAAATAATTAACGCCCCATACCAGGCTCGAACCAAAAACTTTTCGATTCCAGTGCACTGAACAGGTAGCCCAACTGACTGAGCTATCACCCCTACACATAAGATTTTAAAAGGACAAAGAAGCACTACATTCACACATTTGGATTTTTGGGGGGAAAGTTCGTTTTTCGTGGTCTCTGGGTCTTCTCTCCATTATTTAAAAAAGTGTATTCGTTTCTTTGAATTAAAATACACACAAATAACGTTTCAAAATCATGGAGAGAAGACCCAGAGATAGAAAAATTTTAGAAAAACGTGTTTAAAAATGTACCATTTTGTACCAAATGTCTGATCTGGCCAATTTTCAAGTTATTTTTTAGCAAATCAAAGATCAATTTCGGGAAAATATTTTACTTTTCTGTTGCACAGGAACTCGATAAATAGAAAGAATGTTAAAATTTCATGTGAAACGTCGATAAAATTTTCACTTTTCAATTACGCCCAGATTCCTGCCGAATGTCAATCAAAAGCGCCCTCGTTCTTTATCATTTTAGTACTTTTATCATGAGGGTACAGATCAAAGGATTTTGGAACATATTAATTAAGAGAAGTAGAATGAAAATGTGCATCAATTTTAAGCTTCATTTTAAGACTTTAAGATTCAAAGTACTTTTAATTTAATATGTTATCCATTTCTGCTGATGAGCGGACATCTGTAAGAACCCTATTGATTCTGAGATCAAAAGGTCAGAGGTAAGATAATAAATTCATGAAATGTGCTGAATATTTTTCCCGAAACTTTTATTATAATTCCCGCTTGAAAAGTGGGAGTGTACTAGCATATGGTGATCGGGATGTCCATATGTCTGCATGTTCATCCGTCCGTCCGTTACGCTTTGGGGTATCCATCTCTTATCGGCAACATCTCTTATACCACTGCATGAGTGAAATTTAATGAGATTTTTTTTGTTACATAGTGCCATTTCGTACCCTCCATTTTACTTTGTGATCCGACATATATTTTGTGGTTTCCCATCGCAAAACATGGACACTACCATTATTTCTATAATATTGGAGGGTACACATCTATTATCTGCAACCACAGGCATTCGTTTCGGTAAAAAATTTTAACCCATGGTATGATAATACAAAGGTATCTAACTCCGAATTACATGAGTACCTCCATCGCCCCAGAATCGCATCCATTTACACTTTTGGAGGAAATACACTAACAAACTGTTTATACCTACGTCTTCTACGATAATTGTCCTGCGCTTTCGCGAAAGAATTTCATTCGTAAGTCTGTCCGTCCGTCACAAAAACTTTAATCTTGCCTGTAACTTATGATTTAGTGGAGTTATGACTTTCATATTTCAGATGTGTATTCCTTGTAACAAGACTTTTCTTTGGGTACTACTTAATTTGACTTTTTGACCTTAACCTTAGATTTTAACACACTTTTACACAAAAATTCTGAACTTTTACTTTGGCGTTAACTTTTGAACAGTAGATACTAGAACTTTCATCTGTCAAATACGTATTCTTTGTAGCAAGACCTTTCATTTGATACCAACAACTTGACCTTTTAACCTTCTGTACTTATGAAAAAAATTCAATCTTAGCAATAACTTTTGAACGGTGAGAGGTAGGGCTTTCATACATCACATATTTAAAGGTCTTGTAAAAAGACATGTCATTGGATACCAAGAACTTTGACCCTTTGACCTTGAAGTTTGACGTACCTTTCAACAAAATAACTTTTGAACAGGTGGTGTTATGGTTTTTTAGCTCACCTGAGCCGAAGGCTCAAGTGAGCTTTTCTGATCACATTTTGTCCGGCGTCCGTCTGTCTGTAAACTTTTCAATTTTTCGACTTCTTCTCAAGAACCGCTGGGCCAATTTCAACCAAACTTGCCACAAAGTATCCTTGGGTGAAGGGGATTCAAGTTTGTTCAAATGAAGGGCCACGCCCTAATTCAAGGGGGGATAATTGGGAATTAATGAAAATTTGGTGGCATATTTTAAAAATTTTCTTCTTAAGAACCACTGTGCCAGGAAAGATGAAACTTATGGGGAAACATCCTCAGGTAGTGTAGTTTCAAATTTATTCAAATCATGACCCCCGGGGGTAGGGGGGGCCAAAATGGCCGACCAAAGTTTTACATAGAAATATTTAGGAAAATTCTTTAAAAATCTTCTTCTCAAGAGCGACAAAGCCATAATTCATCATATTTATATGGAAGCATGTTAAGGTAGTTTAGATTCAAGTTTGTTCAAATCATGACCCCCGGGGGTAGGGCGGGGCCAAAATGGCCGACCAAAGTTTTACATAGAAATATATAGGAAAATTCTTTAAAAATCTTCTTCTCAAGAATGACAAAGCCATAATTCATCATATTTATATGGAAGCATGTTCAGGTAGTGTAGATTCAAGTTTGTTCAAATCATGACCCCCAGGGGAAGGGCAGGGCCAAAATAACCGACCAAAGTTTTACATAGAAATATATAGGAAAATTCTTTAAAAATCTTCTTCTCAAGAATGACAAAGCCATAATTCATCATATTTATATGGAAGCATGTTCAGGTAATGTAGATTCAAGTTTGTTCAAATCATGACCCCCGGAGGTAGGGCGGGGCCAAAATGGCCGACCAAAATTTTACATAGAAATATTTAGGAAAATTCTTTAAAAATCTTCTTCTCAAGAAAGACGAAGCCATAATTCATCATATTTATATAGAAGCATGCTCAGGTAGTGTAGATTCAAGTTTGTTCAAATCATGACCCCCGGGGGCAGGGCGGGCCAAAATGGCCGACATTAGTTTTACATAGTAATATATAGGAAAATTCTTTAAACATCTTCTTCTCAAGAATGACAAAGCCATAATTCATCATATTTATATGGAAGCATGCTCAAGTAGTGTCGATTCAAATTTGTTCAAATCATGACCCCCAAGGGTAGGGCGAGGCCAAAATTGTCGACCAAAGTTTTTACAAATATATATATAGGAAAATTCTTTAAAAATCATTTCCTAAAAATAGCAAATCCATGATTGGTCATGGGACTACTTTTGGATTTAAACTTTACAATAAAAAGCCATTTTTTACTTTTTCCTACCCTTAGTGCTCAGGTGAGCAATGTGGCCCATTGGCCTCTTGTTTATATTTCACAATCGAATTTCTTGTAAGAAGACCCTTCTTTGGGTACGGTCCGTGTAACACTTAACAATTCAAATTTCTAAAACGATTTAGAGTTTTAGAATGTTAATATATTACTTTAAATATCTAACTTTCAAAAACTCAAACTGATTTGGTATAATGAAATTAAATATTTTAGTTCAAAAGTCTAAATTTTCAAATTTCTAAACAGGTTTTAGAATTTTGATATTTTAGATTTTTACCTTAAATTTTCAAAATTCAAATTACCAAAAACGATTAATGGAATTTAATAGTTTGAGATTTTAGTCTACCGTTTGTTCAGAAAGTTTACACTTCACAATCTAAAGTTCGGTAATATTTTTCGTCTTTCGATTATTTGAAATTAATTTCAAACTTCTAAAATCCAACTTTGAAACGTTTAAGATTTTTAGAAATTTAGAATTTTGATTCAAATGTTCTAATTCTAATAACTTAACCCTATGAGTTTTTATAATTTTACTTTAAATATCCAAAATTTAAACCAGGTATGGAATTTGATATTTTGGATATTTGAAGTAAACTTCTAAAAACTCAAAATGTACAAAAGTGTTTGGTAATATAAAAGTTAAGATTTAAATCAAAATTCTAAATTTGTAAATATCTAAAGCGTTTGAAAGTTGAAAGTTTGAAGTAAATTTTAAATAATCAAAAGACGAAAATGTTATCGAATTTTAGATTGTTAAGCGTAAACTTTCTAAACAAACGGTAGATTAAAAACTCAAAAGTTTAAAATACAAAATGTGTTTTTGGAAATTTGAATTTTGAATATTTAAGGTAAAAATCTTAAAACTCAAAATGATAAACCTATTTGGAAAATTGAAATTTTAGATTTTTGAACTAAAATATTAAAATTCAATATACCAAATCAGTTTGAGTTTTTGAAAGTTAGATATTTGAACTAATATATCAACATTCTAAAACTCAAAATCGTTTTAGAAATTTGAATTGTTAAGTGTTACACAGACCCTTAATAATTATATTTTCGACTACTTATTATGTTGTTAAAGGTACTTGGACACAGATTTGAAGTCAATATTTTCTCTATAATATTACGACTTATATATTTTAATGGCATTTCACACAAAAATTAATTAAAAATCCTATTTCATTTAAAAGATATTAAAATTTCAAGTTTTTCGGCGGGTTGACACATGCTTGCACTTTCACAAATTTTAACCTTATTCTTAATCCTGAGGAAAAGTGACAATCTTGTTGTTTATTAATGAGAAATATAACTTCTATCAAGAAAAATAATTTTATTCAGAGTAGAGATGTTAGAAAGCAAAACTCCTTTACAAAAAGCGTAATTCCGAACTAAGAGTTGCGTACAGGTTTAGCAAATCGAGCACACTCGTGTTATGTGCACAGTTTTTGTAAACAGGGCACGAGTTCTGGTAGCGTTTATATTTTCAAATCACCGCCTGCGTTCTAAATCGCCACAGTCTGCTTTCCACATCTGCACGGACTGACAATATATTGTGTGTTTGTTTTGCTTTCGAACATGTATACTCTGAAATTTCTGGATTATGTATTAATATTTTTCATTTAAACACAACGAGATTGTTAATTAATTTGTAAAAGTGCAAGGATGTGTCAATCAAACCCGCCAAAAAAATTTGAAATTTTAATATCTTTTAAATGAATTAAGATTTTTAATTAGTTTTTGTGTGAAATGCTATTAAAATATATAAGTCGTAATATCAAAGAGAAAATACTGTAATAACTTCAAATCTGTGTCCAAGTACCTTTAAGTATAAGCATTTACTGTATGAAGAAATATTATAATTAATGATGCGTCTTCACACTACATTTATTTGCAAAATTCGGCAAACATTTATGACGTCAACTTTAGCGCTCGTTTTCTCGATAACGTCATAATGCACATAATGGTGGTCATCATATAGCCATAAAATGTCGAAAGTAGGTCATCGTGACCTACATTTTGGTCGACATTTTTCAGACCCAAGATGCATCTACTGACCAAGTTTGATGATTGTAGGTCTGAGGGTAATCAACATATGCGTTTTAACCAATTTTTGAAAAACAAATGTCGGCAAAAATCAAATAGTAGGTCACAATGACCTACCTTTTCATAAATATATTATAAGGTCCCAAGATGCATCAAAGTACAAGATTTGATGATTCTAAACCTCCAAGTGTCTGAAATAATGGGATTTAATGTTTTTAAAAGGATAAGTCATAAACCCAGATAGCAAGCTTACGTTGGCCCAATGTTGGGCCACCGTTGTAAGTTACGTTGGTCCAATGTTGGAAAATGATATTGGGCCAATGTAATTTTGCTCATCGGCGCAACGTTGCGCCGACATGTTGGCGCAACGTTGGCCCAATGTCATAGAACGATGATTCTGACGTTGGTCCAACATTGGGCCACTGTTGTCAGTTATGTTGGCCCAACGTTGGACCAACGTCAAAATTATCGTTTTATGACATTGGGCCAACGTTGCGCCAACATGTCGGCGCAACGTTGCGCCGATGAGCAAAATTACATTGGCCCAATATCATTTTCCGACATTGGACCAACGTCGGAAAATGTATATTGGGCCAATGTAATTTTGCTCATCGTTGCAACATTGCACTGACATGTTGGCGCTACGTTGTCCAAATGTTATACAATGATAATTCTGATGTTGGCCCAATGTAGGCCCAACGTATTTGTGCATCTTCATGTAGGCCTTACGTTGGCCCAGTTTCAAACAATGATAATTCTTATGTTGTCCCAACATATCAGTGCACAAAGATATTTAGAAATCTATGGAATTCCATTGAAATCTAAGAAATTCCAGGAAGATACAATGAAAACTGAATTCAATTCAATTCAATGTTCAATTTATCATAGATCAAATCTATATATTCAAAATTTAAAAAAATTGTTTCTTTCACAATGTGTTTTCAAACAAATATTACATATACACTTATAGATGTACCATGTAAGCATATTTTTTTCTAAGTATTCTCACTGATCAACATTTCTTTGTAATAAAACAAATATTTCTTTTTTTTAAAATATGACATTTGACTTAATAACATTGGGAGTGGTCATTGAAACCTCAATGGGGTATACAGTTACAATGAACTTCCAGTTGCCAATGAACATTTACCGTACAAAGTTATTGACTAGACTAGAGTGACAAACACATATATTAAGACAAAATATCTACTACAACTATATTGATAAAAAGATCCCATAAAATCAACACTATCACGCTATTTTCCCTGAATATGCCAAAGATCCTAATTTATGAGTTAGATCCGAAATTTCTCAAGTGTCTGCTTGAACCACTTCCTCACTGATATCCCATGAAATTCACAAATGAATTCACTTTAGTTTAAGTATGAATACTCAGAAAGTTCGATGTTGATTGTTCCCGTAGACACTTACTTTTCTCGCACAATTTCTGAAAGAAAAAATGACCATCAGGATGTATTATCATCGATTATCTATCGCATTTATATATTATCAACATATAAATATATGACAAATAATAAAGTAAGGCTCTACAAGAGTACAAGACTGTTAAGACAATTGGTTACTTCAACCTGACAGTTCAGTATACATGTATTGAGGAATAGAAATTCACTATCTTGCAGTGTCTTTCTTTTGGTTCAAATTAGGATTGATTTCGATAAATGTAAAAATTTGAGAAGTTTACAGATGACATATGAATACTAGACACTGATGAGAAAACTCGCTTTGTTCAACTTTGAACTTAAAATGGTTCAAGTGAGCTATTGAAAGGAAAAGGTTAGGGCTAGAGCTAAAGCTCTATGCCTGACTTACATTGAA